ATAAGTAAATAATATATAATATGTTATATATGATATACATGATATATATATATAATTTTCATATGTATATGAAAAACAGACCACTAAGTACATGTTACAATTTCAAAATCCTTCGGGAAGGCTGGGGTTGGCACTGACTTGAGGGGCCCTGCAGGGGGAGGTTTGGAATATGACACAGTGGTCTGGGTGACGGTTGCACACGTGTTTGCTTGTGACGAGTCGCTTAGCCATATGCTGTAGCTGTGCTTTAGAGCTTTCAACACATAGGTAATACATAAAAATGTTAAGGGAAGCACTGAATTAAGAAGGAGCCACACACACACACACAAAAAAAAACAACAAAAAAAAAAACAAAAAAAAAAAAAAGAAGGAGCCACACATTTAAGGGAAGAATAAGATTCTATATCATCAAAAAACATTCTTACCTCTCTAGGATCAATGTATTTCACTATCTGACGGGGCTCCCCCTGTTTTCTCAAATCAATCAGGCTTTTAAAGTGCTGGAATACTGAGACATTCTAAGGTTCAAACACGAAAGAGTTTAGGGTCAGATTATTTTTCTATTTCTAATTTAGCTATTCACCTAATTACAGCAAAAATGCAAGCCATAAAAATAGACCTTATTTATATAAACTAGATTTTAGAAATATTAATCATCCAGTTTGATTTTATAAGCCAGGTAATATTGGTATTATTCTCATGAAGAATTTTACCTACAGAATGGGAAAAAAATTTGCCAGCTACTCCTCAAAGGACTCGACTTTCTAAAGAGCTAAAAAAAAAAAAAAAATTAGATCTCCCAAATTTAAAGAATCAGTAAAAAGAGGAAAACCCAAGCACTTAAAATGAATAGACTCTTCTCAGATGAAGAATTACAAATGACCAATAAATTCATCAAAAAATGCTCAGCATCACTGGCCATTTCAGTGGTTCAGTCTCACTCCAGAGAGAATTGCTGTCATCACAAAACCCACCAATAGCAAATGCACGTGTGTGCGCACACACACACACACACAAACACACACACACAGATGGAGAAAAAGGATGAAACAACAGAACAATAAAATGCCTCCAAAAACAACCAACGTCCCAAAGCTGATCCACGGAGCACGACGGGGAGGAAATCCAGGGCCAAAGGGCTGAATTGTGCAAAAAGATGATAGAGGAGACAAGAAAAACCAAATCAATAAGGCACTTGACAATCTCAAAGGTGATGTTCCTAAACAAATACTGGACTTGATAAAATAAGTGAGTTTACAGAAGAAAGCTAAATGAGCTAAACAGAATGATACAAAATGAACGACCAGTTTGGCAAAGGATTAAGAATCCATAAGAAGGTACTAAAGAAAAATCCAGGAAAGAAAAGAATTCTACTGAAAGTATGGGCAGCTGAAGTCACCGAGGGGAGGGCAGAGCGTCAGAACCAAAAGGGGAGGCTGATGCACTGACCACACGCTCAGAAAGCCCTCATAGACAACAGTAGAACTTTTTAAACCTTAGTCTGCTTTTAAAGCACAGGGTAGCACACAAGGCTGTAAATATACTAAAAGCTTAGCTGTACACCTTAAACAGGTGAATTTCAGGACATAGAAAATAAATCTCAGTAGAGCTGCTAAACAAACTCACAAGGAAAGTTCTCCAGGCCCTCTGAATGATTCTTGCAGCTCCGTCCTGCTTTGTCAAGTCTATTTTCTGAGACTTTTGAAAGTCCTAAAAGAAAATAAGAAAAAAGGGTTCATTAAAATTATTTTATATGCTCCATTGTGATTCTGCCACCAGGACTCAAGAGAAATTAAATAGAGCTGTATGAAAGAAACAAGGAAAATGAGACTTATGCCAGCTGCCGTGGCACATGCCTGTAATCCCAGCACTCGGAAGGCTGAACTAGGAGGATCACCACGAGTTCGAGGCCAGCTTGACCTGCATATATAGTGAGGCCCTGTCTCCAAAAAAAAAAAAAAAAAAAAGAGAGACTTGGTATCAAAATATTTCTAAGCAAGTGTCACTGATTTTTGATTGCCCAATATGTTCTAAATTATTTATGTTTTCTAATTGCAACATTACCTTGTATAGCAGATTTATTAATATGCTTATGTTAGGGATGAAGAGACGAAGGTGAAATAGTAACTAAGCCAGTATTGCACTTGAAGTTTGCATAAATAAATGCAAAAGAGTCAAGATTATCCCACACATCACATCATATCATACTGAAATGAAGCTAGAAATAAATGGCAAAAATCCCACAAAGAAATTATTTAAACACAAGGAAGTTAAGTGATACTCTCTTGAATAATCAATGAAAAACAGAATAAATCAAGGAAGAGATTAGTTCCTAGAATCAAATGACGATGCCAGTAAAACCTACCAGAACCTGCAGAGCACAGTGAAAGCAGTGCTGAGAGGAAAGTCTGTAGCTGTAAACACCACATCAGAAAACAGTGTGAGGGCCAGGGAAATAACTCAGCGGCATAGCACCTGCCTGGCAAGCATGAGGTCCTGAGTTCAATTCCTGGTACCAAAAAAAAAAAAAAAAAAAAAAAAGAAAGAAAGAAAAGAAAAGAAAACAGTGTGATCCCAAATGAATAACATAGTGGGGAACCTCAATGTCTTTGAAAAACGAGAACACTCCAAATCCAAAGCTAGTACAAAGCCAGCGCAGAGCAGATGTGAGTAATATTGATACTAAGAAATGCACAAAGAACCAATGTATCAACGAGTTGGTTACTTACAAAATAAACTAAATAGACCAACCCTTAGCCATCCTACAAAAAAAAAAAAAGGAAAGACCCAAATCAATGCAATTAGAAGAAAAAGTCGAAATCCAAACAGACACTGCTGAAATCCAGATTATTAATAACTACTTTGAGAACCAGTACTCTAGTAAATTGGAGAATCTGGAAGAAATGGATAGATTCCTAGATATACATGAATGATCAAAATTGAACCAAGATGATATAAAAAACTTGAATAATTCAATAATAGGCAATGAAATTGAAGCAGTTAAAAAAAACCCCTACCAACCAAAATAAGCCCAGGTGCTGATGAAATCATTCTACGAGAGATTTAGGGATGATCTAATGCTAATGCTCATCGAACTCTATAATGAAATTGGAAGAAAGGAGTACTCTCAAAGTCACTCCTAGAAACTAGCTATACCCTGATTCCAAAACCAGAAAAGAACCCAACCAAAAAAGAACTACAGGCCAATATCTTTAATGAACATAGGACTCAAAAATCTCCAATAAGATACCAGCAAACAGAATACAACACATCAAAATGATCACATCTTATGACCATGTATGATTCATCCCAGAGTTGCAGGGATACATACAAATCAGTAAATGTAAAGCATCACATAACTAGAAGTTTTTTAAAAAATCACATAATCACCTCAAGAGACAGAAAAAGGCCTTGACAAAATCCAACATCCATTCATGATAAAACCCTGAAGAAAATAGGTATAGAGGGACCTTCTCTCAATCTGATAAAAGTCATTTGTGATAAACCAGTGGCCAACATCATATTAAGCAGGGAAGGGCCGGGGATATAGCTCAGTGGCACAGCACCTGCCTGGCAAGCACAAGTTTCTGAGTTCAATTCCTGGTACCAAAAAAAATTTTTTTATTATCATTAAGCAGGGAAAAGCTGAATTCTAATTAGCCAAAACAATCAGGAAAGAGAAAGCAACAAAAGGGACATGTATAGGAAAGGAAAAAGTCAAATTACATTATTTGCAGTTGACATGACCTTCTACATTGAAGACCCAAAAAACTTTACCAAATGACTCCTAGAACTAATGACCAAATTCAATAGCACAGCAGGATACAAAATCAACACTCAAAAATCAATAATGTCCCTGTATGCTAATAATGAATTCACTGAGAAAGAAATCAGGAAAACAATACCATGCTCAATTGCATTAAGAAAAATTAAGTACTTAAGAAATAACCTAACCAAGGAAGTTAAAGACCTCTACAACAAAACCACGGTCCTCTGAAAAGGAGATTGAAGAGGAATATCAGAAAATGGAAAGATACCCCTTGCTGCTGAATAGGCAGAACCAGTATTGCCCCCCAAAATGAACATATATGCAAAACATATACAGAATCAATGCAGTCTTAATCAAAATACCAATAGCATTTCTCACACATCTAGAGAAAATAATCTTAAAATTCATAGTAAATCTAAAATGGCAAAGCAGTCTTGGACAACATGAGCAAAGCAGGGGGCATCAAAATCCTGAACTTCAAGTGATACTACACAAACCTACAGTAATTAAAACAGCATGGTATTGACACAAAAACAGACATGTAGATCAGTGGAACAGCTTACAGGATGCAGAAACAACTCCGGGCACATTCAGCTATTTTATCTTTGACAAATGGGCCAAAAACATATACTGGCGGAAAGATCACTTCTTTAATATACAGTGCTGGGAAAATTGACTATCCATGCACAAGTGATTGAATTGACACCCATCTTTCTCACAATGTACAAAACTAAAATCAAAGTGAATCAAAGACCTAAATGTTAAAACAGAAACACTGAATCTACTAGAAGATGAAATAGGCAAAACTCTTGAAGACATAGGCATAGGCAAGTACTTTCTGAACAGAAGTGCAAATGTTTAAAAAATAATACCAAGAATCAATAAATGGGATCATATCAAGTTAAAACCTTCTGCATGACAAAGGAAACACACAACAGAGTGAAGAGGCAGCCTCCAAAATAAGGAAAATTTTTGCCAGATATTCCTTAGATAAAGGACTACTACACAGAATATATAAAGCACTAAAAAGTATTAGATTGCTCTAAATGAAAAAATCCAGTCAAAAACTGGGCAACTGAAATGAACAGACACTTCAAAAAAAAGTAGTGCAAATTACCAATAAATAAAATACATGAAAAAAAAAGTTCAACATCTCTGGCCATTAGAAAAATGCAAATTAAAACAACACTGAGATTCCACCTTACCCCAGTAAGAATGGCTAACATTAAGAAATCAAATAATAATAAATACTGGTGAAGCTGCAGAGAAAAGGAACCCTTCTACATCCTTTGTGGGAGAGCGTAAACTAGTAAAACCACTATGAAAATCAGTATGGAGTTTCCCCAGAAATCTAAAAAACAGAAATTCATTGACCCAGTTATTCCACTTTTAAGTACAGTAACTTCTCAGAAGAATTAGTCATTCTATTACAGTGATATATCATGTCCATGTTTATAGAAGTACAATTCATAATAGCTAAATCTTGGAATTGGACTGTATGTCCATAAACAAATGAATCAGTAAAGACAAGGGAGTATTTATACACAATGGAGTGCTACTCTGTCATAAAAATGATAAACACGAATCATGAAAATGGATGCAAAAAAAATGGATGCACCCAGAGACTATAATATTGAGTGAAATAAATTAGAAACACGAGCTTACATATCCCATAGTTTCTCTTATATAAGAAACCCAAAGCATAATTAACAGCAAAATAGAATCTGGATAATACAGAAACCGATTTTTCATGAAAGGGAAGGGGCCTAATGGAGGGAGGTGGGAGAGAGAGGAAGGGCATGAAAAACAGAATTAAGATGAACTGTTTACGTATACCAACTCCCCAATAAAAATTTTTATAAAAAAATAAATTTGTCTTTCATCTTTCCCTACAAATAGCCTTACTACTACAGGAGGCATGAAGAGATAGGTTAAATGCTTGGGTTTTGAAGTAACATGGACCAGGCTTGTCTTTCTTGCTGTTTGTTTGATTTCTTTCTTAATGAGTTGGGGTCTTTCTTGCTTTGCTGCCCAGACTGTTCTCAAGTGATCCTCCTGCCTCATCCCAAGCACTGGGACCACAGGTGCGCACCATCGATTCTAAGACGGGGTTTGCGTTAACAAGTTCTACCTCAAGTGCGGCATGGGAGGGTATGCCTGTAATCCTACAACTCTGAGAAAAAAAAGTTTCCCATGTGAATGGTGCGATAATCAGTTTTAATAATTCTAAAGACATCATCAATATATTTTTTTAAAAAGACAAATACAGGGTATAGATTTTTCCATTTGAGATTTATATAACTTTTAAAGAGTCTATCAAAATTTCAACCTTAAAATGTGAGAAAATCAGCTGGCGTGGTAGCGCACGCCTGTAATCCAGGGACTCGGGAGGCTGAGGCAGGAGGATCGTTGGGAGTTCGAGGCCAGCCTGGGCTACAAAGTGAGCTCAAGGCCAGCCTGAACTGCATAGTGCGACCCTGTCTCAAAAAGGCAAAAAAAAAAAAAGTGAGAAAATCATGAGTTTTGAAACATGGTGCCCACTTCAGTTATTCCTCTTATGTTTTCTTGTCCATTTTATTTTTGAGCGGCCCACATACAAAATACAATAATTAAAAAAAATACAATAATTTCAGTTATTTATACATGACAGATCCAGGGCAATTATAGCATTAAATATATGTAAATATCACTCCTTAATATCTCACTGCCATTTAAAATCTAAATTTATTCATAATGTTGTCTAAAACTGTTGACTCTAAAAGCTATATAAATGTATAAATTCAAACAATAACTACACAATGAAAAGTAAAAATTGTTCATCCCTATTTTTTTTAGCTCAATTCACTCTTCAAAGTTCTGTTAATAGATACGAGATTCCTCCAGGTTTTTTCTCACACGTTTAAACCCATGTTGGGTATCTACACATATGCTTGTATACATACACATTGTATGCATATACCCATACACAGTATAGAAACACACACGTAGGTTTGTTTGCTTTAATGTGATCAAACTCTACATTTTTTTCTTTTTTACTTAACATGCATTGAAGGCTTTGCCATGTTGCTCCATATGTACTTTGCTGATTCTTTTTATAGTTGCATAGCATTAGGTGTGGGTATGTTAATCTTTTCTCCATTTGATATTGATTTTTTTCCTGATTACAAAGTATCTTTTATACGTGCATTTGTGTAACAGGGGCTATTTTTATAGAATAAATTTTTAGAAGTGCTGTGACAAAAGGCATGCACATACGAGTTTGCACCGACTCTGTCTGCAACAGTGTAAAAAAACCTGCTAATAGTGATTTTCTCTGCAGAGAAGCCAGCCTACTAAGGGGGCTGGGATCACAGATGAAAAATATTTTATTTCATTGTGCTTTTAATACTGTTTGAATTTTCTACAATGTGTAATTTAGATATGTACCTATGGACACATGTACACATATATATCTTCATTAAAAGGAAAGCGCACATGTAAAAATTTGTCAAATTATCCTCAAAAAATGTCTAATTTACACCCATAAACATTATATACAATTGCTTAATTCTACGTTTTACAAAAGTGAAAACCTAAACATTAATAGGACATTAGGACTACACTGGTTCTTCTAATAGGACTACACTGGTTCTTCTATCTAATAGGACTATACTGGTTCTTCGTGATTTTTATCCATTTTCAACGCATAGCGCTTGGTTTTAACACATAATCAAAACATGTCTGATGTGTAATATGACATGATAGTATTCGTGGTACCTCAGGAAATCTTCAGCATTATCCCTAATACATTCCCAATTTTGTAAGTAAATTTGACCTTGGGCTTAAAAATCCCTTTTACTTAACTGTGTGGATGTGTTTCCCGGCACTTTGATCTAAATAATTTCACCCACGCTTTCTTCCCGCCGCACCCGCTTGTCCTGTCATACAGGTAAGGAGCGTTTAGAGTCTGCGGACAAAGTAAGAACGTCTGCTCGTGCAATCGACAGTGTGCCTATTTGTTGAGCACATTTACTATCTCATCCTTCTACAATGTAAATTCCCCTCAGAGCAGGATTTATAGCTAGCTCCCTTACCCTGACTTCTTGCAAATCATAGGCAATCAAAAAAAATTATCTAGTTCACTGAATAGGAGACCAACTAATTAACATGCATTTATGCAACAGTAGAATTCTGCAGAAATATTAAAGTGATGAAGATACATATGGATAACTGGTTCACATTTTCAATTTTTAAAAAGTTTATTAAACAATCTATAATAAGCTACTTATGTTAGCTCTTCCCTATTCCAGTCTATGTATATAGACATAAATGTGTCAATATTGAGAGGTGAAAGAACTGAGGAATTTAAAAGCACATTTTTATGTGACCATTATGTATATCTAAGATGTACCAATAAAATCTGATGAAAAAAGCACATTTTTTCTCACTTCTATAATGAACTGTAATGAGCAAATTAATTTTATTTGCCATGAGCAGGACAACACACTGCAGAAAAGTTCACAGAGTCAGGGTGGGGCGGCAGGGCGTAAGCGGGAGGGGTGGCCTCTTGCAAGCTTGTGGTAGGTTGTGCTACTCCGTGGGTAGTCCATGGCCCCATGCTGCCCCGAACTGTGTGACCAAATGAAATAAAGCAATTCACAGCATTTAGAAACTTATAGAATTTGATGTGGCTGAGTATGCAAACACATGATCGGTAGATTTCTAAGTCTGTGCATCTTTTTTTTTCTTTTTCTAATAATTTTAATTTTCTTTTTATAAGAGTAACCATCTGCAACACATCAAAATCATGATCTGACATGTGTTTTTTAAAGCATCACTCTGAGCTGTGTGTGGTAGTACACACTTGTAATTCCAGCACTCTGGGAGGCTGAGGCAGGAGGGTCACAAATTCAAACCCAGCCTGGGGAATTTAGTAACCTTAACAAGAGCCTGTCTAGAACAAAAAGTGCTGATGGGTAGTTCTGTGTGAAGGCTCCAGGTTCAATCCACAGCTCTCCAAAATAAGTAGATTAATTAATAAAACATTTGGAAGTGGTGTAAAAAAAAGGGGAAAAACTAAGTCATTGTGGTTGCTTGACCACAAATAGTTATAAAAATTAAATAAAAATACTCTAAACTCATTACCATTTTACTACAGTTTGCTATGATTTAGTCTTTTTTTGGGGGGGGGGCGTTCTTGAGTCAGGGTCACATTATGTTGTTTAGGCAGGTCTTGAACTTACTATGTAGCCCAGGCTGGCCTCCCACTTTCAGCAATCCTCCTGCCTCAGCCTCTTGAGTGCTGGGATCACAGGCATACACTGCTACATGAGGCTGTTTAGTCTTCTAGAATTTCCTGCATACAATATAAGGGAGGGACGGAGGCTGCTCTCTGCTGCTCCTCCCTTTCTGCTCTTGTTGCTTTTGCTGTCTTCCACTGCCATGAATGGTTGCCCTCTGCCATGTGCCACTCTGCCTTGGAGCCAGCCGAGTACAGACTGAAACCTCCACAAACTGTGAGCTAAATAAACCTTTTCTTCCTTAATTTTGGGCTTCAGGTATTTGGTCTCAGCAAGGAGAGAAAAGTAACCAAGACCTGTATCTAGATTAAAAAGAGATGATAAAAATATTAGTAATACAGGTTAAAAGTCTATTGTATATGTCACTACATTATGAATTTTAAATATATAGTTCATATACAATTTATACTGTGTCTGTGATTATAATATAAATAGAATAAAACATTTGGGAAGTATCTTCCAGTATTCATATGTTTACTCTTATTTTTTGGTGCTGGGGATGGAACCCAGGGCCTCATGCACAGTGCGCCCTCCCCAGTGGAGCTATGCCCCCAACCCCAGCATTCAAAATTATCTGGTTCAGCAATAAGTCACACTATTCAGGAGTGATGAAGTTCCACATACTTCAAGAGAGAGAGAGAGAGAGAGAGTATAATGAATTGCATACAATTTTGCTAAGGGTCAAGCATATCAAGAATAAAAAATTAGATTTGATTAGTTTGAAGTCACTCGTGACCTTTTAAACGCAGTTTCACTGGAGTAGCGGGGAAAGACTGGAGTGGGGTGTGGAAGTAGGAAAGGTAAGACAGAAATACAGTGACAATTCTTTGGAGTGCTATGAGGAAGCAGAGAAATGGGCTAGTAGGTGGAAGGTGGGAATGGATTCAAAATATTTTTTCTTTCATTTAATATGGGAGCTACTAAAGCATGTTAAGATGTTGTTAGGTCTGATCCAGTGGAGAAGGAGAAATTAAAGTTGTAAAGGATATGATTCTAAGGCTAAAACTCTGAGTAGATATAAAAAGGATAGAGGGGGTAGAACAGTTGATCTTAAAGAAATGACTTATATCATAGGGTTATTATGCAACTCCAAATAAACCAACCCATGTGAAAATCTTGCATAAATTTTTAGGTGCTAAAATGTACTATTAACCCATCGTTCAAATGAAATAGTTTACTGCACTCAAGTGCCACTTGCAGATTCAAATATAAACATTTTCTAAGTGCATTATCTACTTTGGGAGATGCTGTCTCAGTCAGTAACTTTTATTATAACAGAGATGGCTTCGCTGTATCAATTTTTAGACTTCGTAAGAAAAACCCCGTAACAGGTGTTGAGATTGTCCTTTTCACTTACTTTAAAAGCTATTAAAAAATCTTACCATTAATTTGCTATGATCAGAACCTGTACTTCCTATTTTGGCTTTATTACCAAATGTTATTGACTAAACACTGTGTTTAATAGTCTTTATCAGTTTCCTAATTTCTTTTTTTTTTTTTTTTTAGACAGGGCCTCATTATGCAGTTCAGGCTGGTCTTGAACTCACTTTGTAGCCCAGGCTGGCCTCGAACTCAAAACGATCCTCCTGCCTCAGCCTCCCGAGCGCTGGAATTACAGGCGTGTGCCACCGGTGACGCCTGGCAAGTTTCCTAATTTCGCTTTGCCTTTTTTCTCAGTGGTCCTCCCCACTGAGGGTAGAGGAGAAAAAAAAAAAAATCCTGAAAAGGCCTTTCTTTTCCATCTCTAAATATTTCAATGAAAAGACTTGAAGCCATCTTATCAAATAGGAAAAAAAAAAAAAGGTCCAGATGCAATGTAAGGTGGGTAAACAGGCATTTCATCAGCAGCCGAGCCCGGAGGATCTGAGAAGGCAAAGCCGGCGTGAGGGATTCTCAGCAAGACGTACTCAAGGTCACCGCTCCGAAAACAAGGAGGCGATAGGGATGGGAGGGAGGAAACATCCTAAAGAGGATGGATGGGGGGCAGATCTCAAGAAAGTGGAACTTCAGGGCCCTGAAACAGATAAAACTCAAGCCCCGGGGCCACAGACAAAAAACGGACTAGTAGTAGTACCAGGTGAGAAGGTGGAGCCGCCATCCCTTCAACTGCCAATCGCTGCAGCCCAGAGCTTTGCTTGTTTCCTTGGTAACAGCGTGCCAGGAAGTGACGTAAATCTCGTTCCGTCGTCTTGCCTGGCTGCCCCATTTAGTCCCGCCTTCCAGCCCTACCCCCAAGGAACCAAAAAATGAAACAAAAAACCAGGTCGTAGGTGAAAGCCGTTCGCCTTGTTAGAAGGTCTCATTTCGAGAATGACTTTGCAAAGGCAAAAGATTTTGGGATCGGAAGTCAAAGTGATTGTCTACCAAGTTGGGTTTTTTCAATATTACTAATTAAAATATCTACAAAATATTTGATATCAACCTCTTTTTTTATTGCTACAGGTTTACAGAACATAACGAACACATTCACCACGAAGGATCTGAACATGTACATCTGGGGTCTTTATCCCTTCCTCTCTCCCTCCCTCCAATCCTTCTCCGCCACATTTACAAAAGCTCTACCTACTTACATCTTCAATTAATTTTTTCCCTTAAATCTCTTTCCCTTTCTTCCCTCCTCTTCCACTTTCCCCGTATCTCTTGTTCCTCTTCTTATTTCAACCAGCTTTTCCTACTTTCTAATCGCTATCCTTGTTATTTATGCTTTGGGTTTCTCACACAAGAGAAACAATGTGATATTTAATCTTGTGTTTATTTCACTTAAGAGTATGGTCTGGAGGTGCATCTGTTTACCTAAAAATGTCTCAGCTTTATGGGAGAATAGTATTCCATTGTCTAGAAATATCACGTTTTCTTTATCCATTCATCTGTTGGTGGGCATATGGGCTGTTTCCAAGATTTAGCTATTACACGTGTGCTGCCATAAACATGAATGTGCACGTATCACTGTGGTATGATGACTTTACCTCTTTCAGGAAGCTACCTAAAGAGGACCTGCTGGGTCAAATGGAACCTCTAGTTTTAGTTTCTTGAGGAATCTCCATACTGATTTCCATAGTCACTGTACCAATTTACACTCCCATCAAGATGAAGAAGAGTCAATTTTCCTTGCAGCCTTGCCAGCATTTGTTATTGGTTGATTTCTTATTTATGTATTTATTTTGGTCTTTTTGAAATAGGATCTCGTTATGTAGGCCAGGCTGGCCTCAAACTCATAGCAATCCTCCTGTCTCAGCCTCTCCAGTGCTGGATTCCAGGTGTGCACCACCACTCCCAGGTCTGATTTCTTGATAATAGCTATTCTTTCTGGAATGCGGTGGAATCTGGGTTGTTTTAATTTGTGTTTCTCCAGTGGCCAGAGATGTTGTGCATTTTTTTTTAATTTACTGGTTTTTTGTACTTCACCTGAGAAGTATCTGTTCATTTCATTCATTGTCTATTCATGGACATTTTTGCGTTGGGTCTTTAAATTGGGGGCGGGTCTAATTTTTGAGTTCTTTGTATATTTTAGATAATAAGTCCTCTATGAGGAAGGAAATTATAAAGATCAGAGCAGATTTTTTTTTTTTTTTTGGTTTTTCTCCGGTACCGGGAACCGAACTCACGACCTTGCGCTTGCCAGGCAGGCGCTTTTGCCGCTGAGCTAAATCCCCAGCCCCAGAGCAGATATTAAAGCAATTGAGACTCAACAAAAATACAAAGAATCAGTGAATCAAAGAATTGGCTTTTTAAGAGACTGAATAGATCAACCCTTAGCTAACCTGTCAAAACAAGAAAGACAAGACCTAAATCCATGGAATTAGAAGGAAAAAGGGCATCTGGGCATGGTGGCACATGTCTGAAACCCCAGAACTTAGGAGACTGAGGCAGGAGGATTGCTGTGAATTTGAGGTCATCCTAGGTTACATAGGAAGTTCAAAGCCAGCCTGAACTACATAGCAAGACCTGTCTCAAAAAACAGAAACAAAAGCAAACAAACAAACAAGAAAAAAGGTGAAATCACAACAGATTCTGCAGGAATCCAGAAGATCATTGGTAACTATTTTGAGAACCTGTACTCTAATAAAATGGAAAATTTAGGAGAAATAGAGAGGTTCTTAAATACATATGAATTGCTAACACTAAATCAAGAAGATAAAAATTCTAAATCACCCAATATCAGTTGATGAAACTGACTAAAAGAACCTACAAACTAAGAAAAGCCCATATCCTAATGGATTCACTGCTGAATTCTATTAAGAACTTTAGAGAAGATCTAATGCCAATACTCCTCAAACTCTTTAATGAAATAAAAAAAAAGGGAGCAGTAATCCCAAAATCATTCCTGGAAGCAAGCATTATCCTGAAACCAAAATCAAAAAAGGACCCAACCATAAAAGAGAAGTACAGGCCAATCTCTTTAATGATTATAGATGCAAAACTCCACAATAAGAATGCAACAAATCATCAGAAAGATTTATACATTATGGTCCCAATGATGCAAGGATGGGTCAATATACACAAATCAATCAATGGAATACATCACATTAACAGAAGGACAAAAATTACATGATCATCCTAATAGATGCAGAAAAGGCACCTGAAAAAGTTCAACGTCCATTAATGATAATAACTCTAAAGAAATTAGAATAAAAGTTCTTTCAATCTAATAAAAGCCATCTACAACAAATTAACAGTCAAAATACTAAATGGACAAAAGCTGACAGCTTTCACTCTAAAACTGGGAACAAGACAAGGCACCACTCCTGCTCAATATAGTTCTAAAAATACTAGCCAGAGCAATTAGACAAGATAAAGAAATAAAAGGAATATGGATAGGAAGGGAAGAAGTTAAATTACAATATTTGCTGATGACGTGGTATTCTACATGGAAGACCACAAAAGCTCCACCAAAAGACTCCCAGAGTTAATAACCAAATTTCATAGTATAACAGGATCTAAAGTCAGCACTCAGAAATGAATGGCATTCCTGTACATGAATAACAATCTTACTAAGAGGGAAATTAGAGAAGCAACACCTTTCACAATAGCAGAAAGAAAAATGAAATACTTGGGAATTAGCTTAACCAAGGAAGTAAAAGACCTCTACATTTTGAAAACTGTAGGGGCCTGGGGATTTAGCTCAGTGGCACAGCGCCTGCCTGGCAAGTGCAAGGTCGTGAGTTTGAGTCCAGGTGCTGGAAACAAACAAACAAACAAAAAAACCCTGTAGTATTCTGGAAAAGGAGATCAAAGAAGATATCAGAAAATGGAAAGGAAATGGAGAGTTCTTGGATAGACAAAACCAATATAGTGAAAATGGCTATACTTCCAAAACTATTATACAGGTTTAATGCAATCCTAATCAGAATAACAATAGCATATCTCACAGACCTAGATAATGCAATCCTAAAATTCATATGGATTCAGAAGACACTTAGAGTAGCAAAAGCAATTCTGGGCAACAAGGGCAAGACAAGGGGGTATCACACAATCCTGCACCTCAAGTTGTACTGCAAAGCTACAGTGATAAAAAAGTATAGTAATTGGAAAAACAAAACAAAAACAAATTTAAAAACATCAGAAAGAGAGAACTAGAGCTCATTCCCTTGCTTATTGTACAGTACTGGTGAAAATGACCAGAGAACTCTGGAAGCGCAGTGAGCCTCTAGCCCTAAGGAATTTGTTCTGTACAAATGTTTTTATTACATAGGGAAACTTTCTCCCTTAACATTCTCTTCTTTACAAGTCGTATTGCATGCAGGAACACAGGAGACAAATAGGACTAAGCAGTTCTGGGTAAGATCATTTTACGGTGCAATAATTACAAAATAAACAAAAACAAATTTAAAAACATCAGATTTGAGGGCAGGGGGTTGATGCAGGATCTCACTATGTAGCCCAGGCTGGCCTCAAACTCATGGTAATCTTCTTGCCCCAGCCTCACAACTGCTGAGATTACAGGTGTGCATGACCACGCCTGGCCAGATTTGAGGATTAATGGAACAGAGCAGAAGATGCAGAAACAACTCCAAGCATACTCAGCTACCTATGTTTGACAAAGGGGCCCGGCATCTTCACTGGAGGAAAGATAGCCTTTTCAACAAACAGTGCTGGGAAAACTGGCTATCTGCATGCTAAAGACTGGACCTAGGCCCATATCTCTCACCATTCACTAAACTAAAATCAAAATGGGTCAGAGATCCAAATATTAAGACAGATACTACACTTGATCTTAGCCAAAAGGCCGAGAAGTGATGGAATATTAAGACAGAAACACTTAATTTGCTGGAGAGGATAGTGTTATGGTTTGTGTCTAGATGGAGTTTTTTCAGGGGTGCCTCAATCCAGAGCGTGTGATTAAAGATGTGTGATTACTAATTCAGTCCACTCCTTTGTCTGGTACCCACCCAAAACCCAGTAGCCTAGACAGATTATAAAAGGGACAGAAAGAAGCTGCTAAGGTTGCTTGAACTTGCTGCTTGGTTTCTTCTGCCTGTCTTCTGCCCACCATGAACTGCTTCTCCTCTGCGATGCGTGTCTGCCGTACCACCCTGCCTTGGAGCCAGCCAACTGTGTACTGAAACCTCGGCAAACTGTGAGTCAAATAAACCCTTCCTCCTTTAACTTTGGGTGTCAGGTATTTTGTCTCAGCAATAAGAAAAGCAACTAAGACAGAATAGGTAAAACTACTGAAGACACAGGTGTAAGCAAAGATTTTATGAACAGAACCCTCACTGCACAGGAAATATTACAAAGAATCAACAAATGGGATCACATCAAATTAAAAGGCTTCCACACAGCAAAGGAAACTATCAATAGAGTGAAGAGACAACTTACAGACTGGGAAAAATTTTTTGAAGTTGTTTTCTATATATTACAAAGCCTAGTCATTTCAAGCAAGGAGCCTGAAGTTGTTGGAGAAACATAATGTAATCCTTTCTTTTTCAACTAATTCTACTTACAAATGAGAAAGCAAATCCTAGCAATTTGACAGATTGTCTTGCACTAGGACTAATAATAAATGACACCAGACTACAGGCCAATGTTATTGCTAAATTAAGCTTCTTAGCTGCTAAAGCCTAAACCAGCGTTAAGTGAAAATAAATGACTTCTTAGATGAGTTTTCAAATAACCTTAGATTAGACAAATATTTCATGTCTAACACA